TCATTGCAGCACTGTTTACAAGAGCAAAGACGTGGAAGCAACCCAAATGCCCACTGATGATAGACTGGACAGGGAAAATGTGGCACATGTACACCATGGAATACTATGCAGCCATAAAAACCGATGAGTTCATGTCCTTTATAGGGACATGGATGAACCTGGAAACCATCATTCTCAGCAAACTGACACAAGAACAGAAAATCAAACATCACATGTTCTCACTCATAGGTGGGTGTTGAACAATGAGAACACATGGACACAGGGAGGGGAGCATCACACACTGGGGGTCTTTGGGGAGGAACTAGGGGAGGGACAGCGTGGGGTGGAGAGTTGGGGAGGGATAATATGGGGAGAAATGCCAGATATAAGTGATGGGGAGGAAGGCAACAAACCACATTGCCATATATGTACCTATGCAACAATCTTGCATGTTCTTCACATGTACCCCAAAACCTAAAATACAATAAAATATACATTAAAAAAAGAAAAACAGGGCTTTATGATAGGAAGGTAAATAAATGACAAAAGCAGTAAGACAACATACTTATTGGTATCACGCAAATAGGTACCTACCTGACATAATAGAGAGCACAGGTTCTTGCATTGTTTTGAACATAGGAACAGACTATAGCACAACAAAATCCTGGAAGGAAACAGCCTGCCTCAAAGCTATTAAGGGACTACCGAGAAAGACCAGGACTTGAGTCAAACAAGTCTGCTCAAACTAGGCTGTACACTACAACTATTCTCTGCACTGCGATAACATGTTAACATAAGGAAGAACTTTGGGAAAAAATCAGGTTGGTGACACGGTAAGACAGACCAATGGGATGGAGCAGCTGGATAGGATAAAACACAGTGGGAGAGGTATTTTTTGGTTTTTGTTTTTTTGTAAACACATATACTTTCAAGCCTGTCTACTTGAGAACTTACTGGAGAAGGCAGACAAATTGCTTTTTCTGCTGACTCTAGTCAATGAGTATAGGAATTAATTGGAATTACATGTCCACATTGTCTGTTCCATCTGTGAGTCAACATCCCTGCAGAAACCACACCATGGACTAAGAAGTATGCAGTCTGCAGCCTGGATGATTTACCCATGAGATTTCAGTAGATAAGTAGTAAAGGCTATAGAACTGAGCAGGCTGGGAAGGAGGCTTTCGGGATGCCTTTGCTGATGCCAAACATGAAATGTTATCAGTCCACCTGAAGTTCAAAGAGTCCCAGGAGCCATCTGATGGATGAGCCACAAATTAAATTAGACCTTTTTAGGTGAGTAGTTGGAGAGTTAGATGAACTAACACTTCTTTTCTGATACTTTTTGAGTAAACGACACTACAGTGGTACAAGAGAGGGTGGCCTTTGGGAAATGTATTGCATTGAGCTATATTTTAAATTATTATTGGTTAATGAGAATGTCTTTTTTCTCAAACTGGATTGTATGTTTCTTATGTTTCTGTTATCAACCTCCCATCTCCAGCATTTAGCTTTTATTGATGGCTTTTAGCAAGGCCCTGCCCAGGGAAAAAAATAAAACTATAAAGAGTCACAGAGGACATTTTTAAGATTTGAAAGAAAAATTGCAGAAAATAAATATTTTCAATAATTTTTTCTGAAGGCTTATGTAAATTATTGGCATGTTTATGGATTATAACTCCATTTTTGTGGTTGTTTTTAACATCATGAATCAGAATGTGAAAAAAAAATGAGCAATATTAGAAAAGCAGTAGAAATATCTTAATGCCACTGAAGGCCCAGCAGAGATTAAAACTCTTTTATCAGAATATAAGAGTTAGAGAAATTGTGAATCATGAGAAGATACATAGAAGTTACTTTGAACTTCAGTTGGCTCACAGGCCTGCCACAGTCTACTGATGTATGGCCAGAGTCTTTGGTTGCAAATAACAGAATATATTTTTTCTGGTTTAAGCAGAATAGGAATGTATTAAAAGAAGCCAGGCAGCTCATGGAATCTTTGAGAGGGCCACAAGCCGGAACCTGAAACCATCTAGCCAGGAAACCAAGTCATCCCATTGGATTCTCTAGTGAAATGTCACCACCACCACCAATCGCATCAGTCCTCCTTGGGACTAGACACCAGAAACTCCTCTGCCAATGCCCCAGATGAGTGGACACCATTGCCCTCACTATGCCCAGAAGGCTGACTCTCCCTTAGGTAAGGCCAACTCCCACATGTGATGACATTTTTATCCTCTGAATCAAGCCTTACATGGGTGGTCACAATCGGTAGAACTAAGCCACATACCTGCATCCTAGGTGCAAGGGAGTCCAGAGATATGAGGTTTTTGCCCTCAACTTTGAAAAGGACTTATAAAGTCAGAAATTTTCACAATGTATGGAGAAATGTTCAAAGATGGCAAGCAGCCACAAATTACTAAAATCCTCTATGAATTCCAATACGCCTTTTTTCATCCATAGTTCTTCTACCCAAATCCTCCCTTCCAGGCATCCTGATCTCTTATTACTCCTTTTACAACCTACTTCCCATCTTAGCAACATGAGGCTTATTTAAATAACGTTCTCAAGATCACACAACTACTGAGAAATAAAAATCTGGATTTGAGCCTAAATCCCTTCTGAAATCCAGACTCTGTACCTTAGTTGATATGGTTAGGCTTTGTGTCCCCAGCCAAATCTCACCTTGAATTGTAATTCCCATTATCCCCACATGTCAAGAGAGAAACCAGGTGGAGGTGATTGAATCATGGGGTTGTTTTCCTTCATGCTGTTCTCATGATAGTGAGCTCTCATGAGATCTGATGGTTTTATAAGGGGCTCTTCCCCTTTCACTTGGCACTTCTCCTTCCTGCTGCCTTGTGAAGAAGGTGCCTTGCTTTCTCTTCACCTTCTGCCATGATTGTAAGTTTCCTGAGGCCTTGCCAGCCATGCAGAACTGTGAGTCAATTAAACCTTTTACCTTTATAAATTACCCAATCTCGAGCAGTTCTTTCTGGCAGTATGAAAATGGACAAATACACTAGTCATGTGTTGAAAGTTGATTTAAAGTCTACACTTCATGCTATGTCCCAAAGCACCAGGTTTACTGTACTAGATACTTAGCACCATGTACTAAGCAGACAGTAATTTAATTCATCTCAATAGATATGTTTTTACTGCCTGGAATGGAGCCTTAGGTTCAGCCACATAGAAATTATATAATATTGGACAAATTATTTACCCCTCTAGATCTGTTTTCTCATCCACAGAATAGAATGGTGTGCTTCTCATCTGGTTAATGTGACGACAGTTTTAGAAATGGGGGGCACAAACGTGGACCACAATAAGCACACAATAAATATCAGGTCCATATATTTAAAAAACCTAAGAACATGGCCTTGTGCTTTAATGGAGTAAGAGGCTACCTATCCATGTAATTTTCATGGTCCTAGGAAGACCCTCACCCTTCCACATACCTCTCCAATCCACCTCCAGACGCAAATTCCTTTCAATCACACATATCTGCCCACAGATGAATGGAGTCAGGAAATGCCAGAATCCAGCCATGAGGAATGAGGTTGAAAGATCATGGATCTGAATAACCCACATTGAGATGGCAGTGGTAGTTGTGAGGTCTCATCCTGAGAGCAATTTTACAGAAAGAGGAGGGAGGAAGACAAAGGTCACTGGACTCTGGTAGTGGCAGCAGATGGGAACCACAGGGGGATGTCTGGATGAAAATAGGGAAGAGGCAAATGCTGGAGTGGCCCAGGCATTCCTCAAAGTGACAAAGAAGTCCCACTTGACCAACACGGAGGGTGAGCAGTGAATATGAATGACCCATAAGACTCAGAATAGGTGGTCACAAAAGAGGGAAAGCCATGATGTCTGGTGTGTCTGTATTCCCTTATAAGGGAACAAACTACCCACAACTCCAGGGCCCATGTAGTCCCAGGTGAGGAGATTAGGAGAGAGGGGTGATGGGGCAATTTCACTCCACTGGGACTCTAGGGGCAGAGTATTGAGAGCATCAGCACTGGCCTGTGAAACCTCCTATGTGTTCCCTCTATTTACATAAATGTAACTTATACACTCCTCCCAGAATACATATTTTTATTATTAATTTTTAAAAGGTCAAGTGCATTGGTTCATGCCTGTAATCCCAGAACTTTGAGAGGCTCAAGAGGGAGGTTTGATTGAGGCTAGAAGTGTGAGACTAGCCTGGGCAACATAATAAGACCTCTGCTCCTAACAACAACAGCAAAATCTTTTTAAAATTGAGGCAGGGGTATAACTTAAGCCCAGGAATTCACAGCTACAGTGAGTTACAATCACGTCACTGCACTCCAGCTCAGGCGACAGTCAGATTGTCTGTCTGACTTTTTATTTTTTATTATTTTTATTAAAAAAAAAAATAAAAAAATAAAATAAAACTAACAAAAACCTAACTGAAATAATGGCCTGAGCTAGAAGCTATTACAGAAAAAACTGGAATTGTGAAGATTTCATGGGCATGCCCAGTCCAGACACACTCATCTGTCTCTCTCTCCTGCGAAAATACTTCCTCCCTGTTACTGTGTGATGGACTCCTATTCATACTTCAAGACTCAAATTAATTATTCCCTTCATTGTGAAGCCTTCCCTCAAAACTCCAATCACTCCCTTCCAAGTTGTGAGAGGCTTTTATGCTGACATTTACTACAGTGCTTGTCTCCCTCCTTGACAGTAAGCACCTTTATTTTGCCATGCCATCATGCTCTATGTGCTATAGATTGTAGGCTACGGTATGCACTGTGCCACATTAAACTTTTCGGCGTCAGCAGCTAACACAACATATGGCACTATGGAAATAATTAATTCAGGTACCATTAGGCTGAGATGGTTCCAGCACCCTGATTTCTAACTGAAACTGAAAATAGAGTAGAATAGCCATAGCCTAGGAAAACAAAACAAACTTAACCAATCATTGCATCATGATTCACAATAGCAAAGACATGGAATCAATCCAAATGACCATCAATGATAGACTGGACTAAGAAAAGGTGGTACATATACACTATGGAATACTATGCAGCCATAAAAAGGAGCTAGATCATATCTTTTGCATGGACATGGCTTAAAGCCATTATCCTCAGCAAACTACCACAGGAACAGAGAATGAAACACCACATGTTCTCACTTATAAGTGGGAGCTGAACAATGAGAACACATGGACACAGGGAGGGGACCAACATACACCTGGGCCTGTATGGGAGAGTGGTGGGAGGGAGAGCATCAGAATCAATCGCTAATGCTTGTGGGGCTTAATACCTAGGCAATGGGTTGATCGATGCAGCAAACCACCATGGCACATGTTTACCTATGTAACAAACCTGCATGTCCTGCATATGTATCCTGGAACTTAAAATTAAATTTAATTAAAATTTTAAAAAGAGAAACCACCCACTAACCTCTAACTAGAAAACTTTCACTTTAGTCAATGAAATATTGTCTTTGTCTTGCTTCTACTAACACCTTATAAACGTTTTTTTCCCTCTCTTTCCCTCAGTGGAGCCCCCACCAGCTGTAGTTTGGTGCCGCCTGATTTATGAATTGCTGTCTGCTCATATAAACTCTAAAATTTAAATGTGCCTGTCTATTTAATGGCACAGAGTTGTGCTCAAAAGACATTAATGGGTAACCAGACCTGATCCTTAATTCTGTCTCCCCTCAGTTGTGCTTTGTCTCCTGGTTGGCACCTTTCGTGCACCTCATGTTTCCTTGGCTGGTGATATAGTTTGGCTGTGTCCTTACCCAAATCTCACCTTGAATTGTATAATCCCCAAATGTCAAGGGCAGGGCCAGATGGAGATAACTGAATCATGAGGGCTGTTTCCCTCATACTTTTCTCGTGGTACTGAATAAGTCTCACGAGATCCAATGTTTACGTAAGGGGTTTCCCCTTTCATTTGGCTCTCACTCTTTCTTGCCTGCCACCATGTAAGGCATCGATTGCTCTTCCTTTATCTTCCACCATGACTGTGAGGCCTCCCCAGCCATGTGGAACTGTGAGTCCATTAAACCTCTTTCCCTTACAAATTACCCAGTCTTGGGTATGTCTTTATTAGCACCATGCAAATGGACTAATACAGCTGGGCTTTTTGTCCCAGCCCTCTCTGTAACACCAGCTGTGCCCAGGAGCCATTTGACGACCTTGCGCCTCAACGGCACCCACATCTCTCATAGCTTTCCAGCACAGCCCCAGCCAGTCATCCTGACACATGTGCACACCTGGAAGGAAAAGGGAGATAACATTCCATAGGGCACCCCTCAACCACTGGGATATAGGAGCTGATTTTTAGAATGTCCCCCTCTTTCATGTCTCAGGAGACTATTTTGAGGTGTATTCTGCACAGCTCTTCAGAGAGTTCCCAACAGGATTGTGTTCCTATTGCCCTCAACAGTAACCAGCTAATAATAACACACCCTTGGATGGGGTGCTCCTCCCTGCACTTTGAAATTACTTCCCAAAATATATCGCCTGCAAACAAGTCCTCATCTCAGGCTCTTCTAAGACGCAAGTCCACAACAGTTTTGATGGCAGAGGAAATTACACAGGGGAACCAAACTTCCATAGTCAGAGGCTTCTCTGCTAGACTCAACAGGTCATCCTGGAAACAATCCCCATTGTTACAGGATTATGGAAGGAGACAGTGTCCACCATGCACTCTGGCTAGATAAGCACAAACCTAGAAGTCCCAAGGAGGAAAAATAATCCCAAGATTGAATTATGTCAGTCTGAAGGGCCATCTTTGTGCAGCAAGGCCATCTGCTACTAACTTAGCTTAATATCAATAGCTAAGATAAATGAGACCTCTCTTTTAAAGATACTCACCTATAGTTAGAATTTAATCCTTTTGGACTAGTAGATCCCAGTCACTTGGCAGTCTATGGAGCTATTGTGGGTGTTCATAATAATTTATATAAGCACAGTACCTTGTCTGGAGAGGGAATAAATGTCTCATCATTTCTTTGAACAGCCTATGTGTACACATGCTGTTGCAATTCATCAAATATAATCTCATTCTAAAATGTTACTGATTTTTATAGCTTTTTGCCATTATATATCTCCTCTATCAATTAACAGTATCCTGGTTTAAAGGACATCTGCAAATTACAATAACATTAGAAAGGGATCCTCATATTCCAAAAGTTTTATAACACCTGTTTAAGGGATATTAAAATAAAACAATGCTGTAGTTGCTTAATGATAGCTTCTAAACATCAAGTGTCTATGTGTGTGTGTGTGTGTGTGTGTGTGTGTGTGTATTTAGTGTCTATATCATTTTTTCTGGCATCAAAACCATTGTGGACTTGCATCTTAGTAGAGCCTGAGATGAGGACTTGTTTGCAGGCAACAGACACTATATATATTGAGTGTTTTTATATACACACACACACACACATACACATAGTGTGTGTGTGTCCATACATATGTGTGTGTATACATATATTTATATACACACACACACACACGCGCACACACACACACACACACACACACACATATATATATAGACCCTCAATGTTTAGAAGCTATCGTTAAGCAATTACAGCATTGTTTTATTTTAATATCACTTAAAACGGGTGTTATAGAACTTTTGGAATATGAGGATCACTTTCTAATATACACATATACATTAAACCTTTCAACAACTCTGTAAAAGAGGTATTATTAGTTCCATTTTAAAAGTAAGAAAACAGATTCAGAATGTGTAGGGGACTTGCCCAAGACCATAGAGATAAGTGTTGGAGCTAAGATCAGGATGGAAACCTGTGAGCCCTTCCTGTCACCATCATTCACTCACTGAATAGGCATGTTGGGGACATGTAGGGACATGCAAATAATGTACACTTTGGGTAAACCATAGTCACTATCCAACCCTTGCTCCTGGAAAAATTTTTCTTCTGCCAGTTTAATTCAATTATTATTCTTGCTCAGCTTAAGTGGGTTTAAGGTGTAACGCAATCTGACCTTCTTTAGTTTTTCACAGCCCCTAAGACGCATTCTGCCTATCCTTTTGCAAAGATTTCTTGCTCTTTTATCACCTGTTTGTTCTCTGGCCTCTAGCTCACCTACAAAGAAAGATTAAAAGGGAGACAAGCTCAGTTATTTGAGTCTTTTCAGCTGCCCCAGTGCCTTCTTTCTGCCAGGGAAGACAGCTTGGTCCTATAAGGAGAAATCAAAGAGTTGGCAAGAACAGATTCCCATTGTTTCCAGCCACAGCACAGAGAGGTGGCAAAAAAAAGGGCCTGGTCAAGTTTTCTGTGTGTGTCCTTTGTGTTCCAAGACCAGGGAGATCTGCTTCCCAAGCCTCCACGTGCCTTCTCCATTAGCACCAAACACAGCTAAACCCTGGCAAGTCCTCCCTGTAAAAGACCACCAGGGAAAAAACACAGCAACCTTGTCATTTATTACCATGATGATCAGCCCAGCAACACAGTCAGGCTGGACCAAATCAACTTCAAGTTATTTGAAATGTGTAATTCATTAAGTAAATTGACCTGTCACAACGCCGTGGGTCATTCCCTGGCAAGGCATCCCATGATGAATAGCTGCTAAATGGCAGAACACAGGTAGTGTTCCGAGGTCCATCAACAGATAGGACTGCACGTAAATGCCCAGACAGTTACAGGACACCTCCAGGAAGCATTTTCAGGAATGCCTGTGTTGTCATGGTGACAAAAGAAGTTCAGCATCACAGGGCCTCCATTGGTTTTGATCAGAGTTGCCTTCTTTTGACTCGAAGCAATGCTGAGTCATAAAACACGCCTGGCCCAGCTAAATTGGAAGTTGTTCTTTTTAGAGCTTTTTGGTGGCAGGGGAGCAGGTCTGGGGAGATTTTTTGTTTGTTTGTTTTTTGTTTGTTTTGTTTTGTTTTGTTTGAGACAGGATCTTGCTCTGTCACCCAGGCTGCAGTGCAGTGGCACAATCTCGGCTCACTACAGCTTGGACTTCCTGGGCTCATTTGATCCCCTGCCCCAGCCTTCCAAGTAGCTGGGACTACAGGAATGCACCATCAAACCCAGCTAATTTCCTTTTTTATATATAGAGATAGGGGCAGGGAGGTCTCACTATGTTGCCCAGGCTGGTCTTGAACTCCTGGACTCAAGTGACCCTCCTGCCTCTGCCTCCCAAAGTACTAGGATTACAGATATAAGCAACCATGCTGGCTGGATAAAGTTCTTGAGTCTTAAAGAAGCTGAGTGTCAAATACCCTGTGACCCCACTATTTAGCTCCTTTAGGAATCCATCTCAATGCATGCAAAAATTTGGCTACAGATTGTTCCATAGAGTGTTATTTGCAGATAATGTGATGTTGATGATGGTTATGATGGATCAAGTTTGGCACCGGTCTATGCATTTCATGTATATTAACCCAAGTTCTCTTCATAGCAACCCCCTGAGGTAAAATATTTTTATTAACAGCATTATTATAATTAATTATATTAACCCATTAGCAAAATATTATAATTATCAATATTATTATAATTAAAATATTATTATTACAATTTTACAGATGAGAAAACTGAAACCTACAGCAGTCGAATAATTGTTAATATGATGCATCCAGTCAAAATAATCTGCCGGGCCGGGCATGGTGGCCCATGCTTATAATCCCAGCACTTTGGGAGGCCAAGGCGGGCGGATCATGAGGCCAGGAGTTCGAGACCAGCCTGGCCAACATGGTGAAACCCTGTCTCTACTAAAAATACAAAAATTAGCCGGGCATGGTGGCAGGCACCTGTATAATCCTAGCAACTCAGGAGACTGAGGCAGAAGAATCTCTTGAAACTGGAAGGCGGAAGTTGCAGTGAGCCTTGATTACATCAGAGCACTCCAGACTGGGCAAAAGAGCGTAACTCCATCTCAAAAAAAAAACCAAAACAAAAAACAAAAAAACTCTGCTCTCTTAAGCATCTCTGCTAGTTACAAGAAACCAATCACCCAGGTGTGTTTTATCTTTCTACTATGCAGAGCTTTTAATTTCATTCCTTTGAATCCTCAAGAAAGAATGATAGCAAATCCATAATAATATTTTTATAACAAAATTACCACATTAACTTTGAGAAGAAATAATATAATCTTCAGGCAAATAAAGCATTATTTGCT